TGGGGGGCAGGCGGAGGGACCGGGTGGGGGACTCCTGTCCTGTACCACCCGGGGATGAAGGGCAGTTCTTTGGAGTCAGACCCGAGTTCCAATCCCACCTTGACCATTCAATAGCTTTGTGGCCTCAGGCGAGTTCCTTAACCTTGATTTCCTCGCGTGTCCAATGGTGACAGTAATAGGAGCCAACTTAGAATAAAACGTAACGAGATAGCATCTAAACGGCCCAGATAATATTACATTTTTTCAGAAATGGAATCAGCTGCCTGCCCTTCCCTGTCACCCAGGAAGAGGAGATACAGGCCCCTTTTTTCCTTCTATCTCAGGGCCCTGAGAGCAGAGGGGGCGTGACTCCCAGCCCCTGGGGGACCCGGGTCCCTGGGTTCCTCTTGGCAAATCGCCTCCCAGGTTTCCTCCTGGGTTATCAGCCTGTGCTCCCACGTGCTCTCTCCCCCTTGATTTTATCCTCAGTTCTCACAAGGCCGTGAGGTGGGAAAGATCTTCATCTCACAGATGAAAAAACGGAGGGTGTGTGTGTGGGGGGGGGGACCTGTCCCTCCTTAGTGCTGCGAGAGCCGGGTCCCCAGTGAAGATAGTTCTAGTGTCTCTGGTGGTTTAAGTTGGGGGAAGGATGCCCAGTGGTGTGGCCCAGTGGTTGAGCGTCAGCCTCTGAACCAGGAGGTCAGGGTTCGAATTCCGGTCAGGGCACAGGCCTGGGTTGCCGGCTCCATCCCCAGTGGGAGGCGTGCAGGAGGCAGCCGGTCCATGATTCTCTCTCATCATAGATGTTTCTCACTCTCTCCCTCTCCCTTCCTCTGAAATCAATAGAAATATATTTTAAAAGAGTGAATTGGGGGAAGGCAATGATTTGGGGCTGATTCAAAGCTAAGCCCCTGCCCTGTGAACAAGAATCCCTATGGGCTGGTGACTCAGGGCCTCCCCTCTGGGCCAGGCGTCCAGCTCAGGTGCCTGGAGACGAGGAAGTGGGAGACTGGTTTCCGGTCAAGCCCTCGGCTCCGGGAAGCTCCTGTCAGACACCTTCCGCCTGGGAGCAGGAGGAAACGCCTTTCCTGGGGCCCAGGTGCCTGACAGGCTCCGGCTGGCTGTGTGGCCTCAGGAAATACGCTGTGCCTCTCTGAACCCCCAGCAGGAGTCGCCTACGGCCTAGGGCAGTGATGGCGAACCTGTGACACGCGTGCCAGAGGTGACATGCAAACTCATTTTTTTGGTTGATTTTTCTTTGTTAAATGGCATTTAAATACATAGAATAAATATCAAAAATATTTGATATTTTTGGTTGCAAATATCAAAAAATTTCTATGCGTGACACGGCACCAGAATTAAGTTAGGGTTTTCCAAAATGCTGACACGCCGAGCTCAAAAGGTTCACCATCACTGGCCTAGTAGGTCCTTTGAGGTCTGAGTGTTTTTCCACAGAAAATAGCCCAGGCCCAGGCCGTGTCTGCAGTCTTTTTTTTTTTTAATAAATGTGTTTTTGTTTGTTTTTTTTGTATATTTTTATTATTGGTTTTTTACAGAGAGGAAGGGAGAGGGATAGAGAGTTAGAAACATCGATGAGAGAGAAACATCCATCAGCTGCCTCCTGCACACCCCCTCCTGGGGATGTGCCCGCAACAAGGTGTATGCCCTTGACCGGAATCGAACCTGGGACCCTTGAGTCCGCAGGCCGACGCTCTATCCACTGAGCCAAACCGGCCAGGACGGTGTCTGCAGTCTTAACCGGAGGGCAGGTCCTGGGAAGCTGAGAGCACCTGCGTGTGAGGCTGGACTGGGCTTGTCCTCAGAGGTCCCTGTGCCCTGGGGTCAGGAAGGAAACTCAAGCTCCTAGGACGTAGGCAGTGCTTCCTTCCCAGGTCACCCGCCAGCTTGACGGCGCCTAGTGCTGCAGCTGATGTCGCGATTCCCAGGGCAGGGGCGTTGGAGCCAGACAGCCTGGCTTCCAGCCCTCCCCACCACGGTCTGTGTGATCTCAGGCAAGTCACCGTACCTCTCTGTGCCTCAGTGTTCCCAGCTGTGAAACGGGATAACAGTGCCCACCTCGTAGGGTTGTGGTGAGGACTATGTCATGTATGTTCATGTATGTCAAGCCCTGGGGACTGAGCCCAGCTCATTGCGAGGGCCTTGTCTGTTAACATTGTCTTTAGGCCCGAAGAGACACTGGCATCAGGGACCCCACCTCCATCCCAGGCACCCCGACTCCTGCCCCAGGGGGCTCCATCTCTCAGAGAGGGAAGGATCTTTGAAACGGTCTCATGATTCTTTTAAAAAAAATTAATTTATTGACTTCAGAGACGAAGGGAGAGGGAGAAAGAGAGAAACATCAATGATGAGAGTGAATCATTGACCGATGCCTCCTGCACGCCCCCTACTGGGGATGTGCCCTGCCTGGGAATTGAACCCTGAACTCCTGGTTCATAGGTCGGTGCTCAACCACTGAGCCACACTGGCCCGGCCCCTCATGCCTCTTAACAGGGACCAAGGGGCTTAGCCCAGGTCACACCGAGTCCTAGCACCCATGTCTGCACCCCCGGCTTTGGTCCTTCTGCAGCAGGGAGGCCCCCCTGGGAGACGGCGGGGGCCCCCAGGCCTGGAGGGGGTGGAATGCCCGGCCAGCTGCCCTTGTCGCCTCTGGAAGGCTGTGGGCCAGGAAGCCAGCACCAGTGCGCGCAGGGGCAGGGCCTGTTTGTAAACACTGAGGAGGAGGCTCATCGATCCCAGGACCACAGCCTTGTCCCAGCCCAGCCCCAGCCCCTTTCAGTTGTTTTCCTGGGGAACTGAGAGAGTCCCCCGGTTCCACCCCCACCCCGCCCCTGCAATCTCCGAGGCTCTTCAAGGTGTTATTTCCACAATGTGGAAAATGTCCTCCATCTTATCCCTCCCTCCCTCCCTGGCTACTGAGTCTGCAAGCCCATTGACAAGTCACAGCATGCTCCGCGCCTCCCGGGGGGCCTGTGAGAGAGAGAGGGAGAGCGGGGTCCTCACCTGGTGGGGGGTGGGCACTGGGGAGGCCGGAAACACAGGTGTTGGCAAGCCGTGGCTGTGTGGGCCCAGCGGCATGTAATGTAAGTAGCATATATTGTTTCTTCGTTAGACAGAGATATTTATTGAGTACCTACTGTGCGCCTGACACTGTTCTGGGAGAGAGCAGGGACCGCAGTAGGTGAGGTCTTGGCCCTCAGGGACCCGCCTTGCCAGCACAGTGCCGCCCCGTGGAAATACACTGTGGCTTGTCACATTGATGAAGAGACACAGATGAGGTTAATTTTAATAACATACCTTATTAAAAAATATTTTTATTTCAGAGAGGAAGGGAGAGGCAGAGAGGGAGAGACACATCAGTGATGAGAGAGAATCATGGATCCGCTGCCTCCTGCACAGCCCCCACTGGGGATCGGGTCTGCAACCAGGGCCTGTGCCCTGACCGGGCATCGAACCCAGGCCCTGCCCTCCACCTCTCCTGTGACCTTGAGCCCGCTGTGCGTGCACTTAGCTCCTGCCCCCCTGTCCCCATGCCGCGAGCTTCCTAGAGAAGGGGAGCGGATTTCGGAGCTTATTCCGGAGACAGACGGAGGCGACGCTGCCATCCAGCCCCCGGGCCAGCTGGTGACGGGCTGTGGGCGGAACCCGCGGTGGGGGGAGCCGCCTCAGCCCTTCCTGGTGCTGGCACTTCCAGACGGTTTGCGCCCATGAACCATTTACCCTCACGGGGGCCCCTGGGGGGACAGATGACGCTCCTTGCCTCCTGTCCCCGGCTCCCAGAGGTTGAGTATTTGTCCAGCATCAGCTGGGACCTGGCGGAGACCATTCGATCCAGGTAAGCAGGCTCCGGCGTCCACGCTCTCCCCAGCGTCCTGTGCGGGCAGCGGCGATAACGCTGCCAAGTTTGCAGTTTTACAAAATGCCAGGTTTTTGGGTAACAGCTTTGTTGAATATAATTTGCATATTATGCCACTTACCCCTTATAGCATACAACTCCATGATTTAGTCATTTCGCAGAGTCGTGCACCCATCACTACAGTCCGTTTTGGAACATTCTCATTGCTCGGAAAAGAAAACCCGTGTGGCCCTGGCCGGGGTGGCTCAGTGGGTGGGGCGTCATCCGTGCACCACAAGGCTGCTGGTTCGATTCCCGGTCAGGGCGCATGCCCGGGTTGCGGGCTCGATCCCTGACGGGGGGCGCACAGGAGGTGGCTCTTTCTCCTCTCCCTTCCTCTCTCTCTAAAAAACACACCCGTATTCCTTCATAGTCATTCCTTACCCACCCCCAGCCTCTGCCCCGGACAGCGGCCAGGCTGCTCTGCCCGTGGATTTATCTACTCGGCACGTTTCCCATGAGTGGAGCCTACACTGTGTGGGCCTTCGTGTCTGGCCGCTTTCACTTAGTGGATGTTTTGTTTTTGTTTTAATATTATTTTATTATTTTTTAAATGTATTTTTATTGATTTCAGAGAGGAAGGGAGGAGAGAGAGAGAGAAACTTCCATGATGAGAGAATCATGGATCGGCTGCCTCCTCCATGCCCCCTACTGGGGACCGAGCCCGAAACCCGCGCCCGTGCCCTTGACCGGAATTGAACCCGGGACCCTTCAGTCCGCAGGCTGACGCTCTACCCACTGAGCCACACCAGCCAGGCTAGTGCCACGTTTACCAGGTTCATCCACGCTGTGGCAGGTGTCGGTGCTTTGCCCCTTTTCACGGCTGAGTCATGTGAGGGCTCCTCAGCCGAGGGAAACTGAGGCTCGCAGTGGCTAAGGAGCTTGCCCAGGACGCTCGAAGAGATGCCCGTGTGAGACGTACGAGGAACTCTGGGCCAGCTGGCAGCACCCGGGGTCTTTGCAGCCTCTGGCTCCCTGGAGAGAAGTCTGTCCTGACTGAGGGTCTGTCCAAAGGTCAGGGGTGTGGGCTCCCCAGAGCGGCTGGGCCTGTGAGGCCCCATCACCGGGGCTGCTCCTTCCTCCGTCCGGTCCAGACCGCTAGCAGGTGCCGCGCGAGCCCGCGGCGGACCTTGGGCAGGTCTCACCTGGGCAGGTCCACACGGGAAGGGCGCCTCCTGTTGTTTGCAAAGTTGCCATGCGGGCCAGTGTGCCCGATGCCCCAGCCCCGGCAGCTGGTGACCCCGCGCCCGCGCCCTCGCAGGAGCTGGAGCTGGTGGAGGACGTGTGGCGGGGGGAGGCGCAGGACCTCCTGTCCCAGATCGCCCAGCTGCAGGAGGAGAACAAGCAGCTCATGACCAACCTCTCCCACAAGGACGTCAGCTTCTCCGAGGAGGAGTTCCAGAAGCACGAAGGTAGGGGGGGCGGCGGGGAGGGGGGCGGGGGAGAAGGCTGTTCCCGCGCCCATCGGGGGACGGTCACGGACACAGTCCCTGAGCGATTACGACGCTCATCTCCAAAGCCTTTTCTCCTGCGGCCCCGGTCACGGCCCGAGCGGAACTGAGGATCTGACAGGAGAGGAGGCGAGAGGCTCGCTCAGCACTGTTCTGGGGGCCTCGCTTTCCTCGCTTTTCTGGGCGCTGGGGATACACATTGGCGGAGCGGGAGCAGCCGCCCGGCGAGCCTGGCTCCTGTGCGGAGACAAACACGTGGACAGACAGGGCCCGTCCGGGTGGTGGCCAGTGCTGGGCCGGCATGCGGTCAGCCCTGACCCTGACCCTGACCCTGACCCCCGGGGGCAGCACGGGGTTCCTGGGCGTTGGGTCTTCCCTTCCCCTTCCCCGTAAGAACCAGGCATTGGGCACCAGAGGGAAGAAGTAAAACAGGGGAGCCCTGGCCGGTTTGGCTCCGTGGATAGAGCCTTGGCCCTTGGACTGAAGGGTCCCGGGTTCAATTCTGGTCAAGGGCACGTACCTCCATTGCAGGCTCGATCCCTGGCCCTGTGGGAGGCAACCAATCGATGTGTCTCTCTCACATTGATGTGTCTCCCCACCCCCCACTCTCTCTAAAATTCAATGGAAAAATGCCCTTGGGTGAGGATTAACAACAAAAATGATACACCCAAGGGTCTGGAAAATTCTTGGGTTCTGGGCAGACAATGCCACCACCAGGGCAGGCGGACCCTGAGCTGGCGTGACTGGCTCGGCCGGCGTCCCTCACCTGCAGAACACTGTCCCCAGGACCCCTGAAGGATCAGACGGGCGCTGTCCCGTGAGAAAGTGCTGACGTGGGGTGGACGGAGCGGGGAGCTGCGCAGGGTCGCGTGGGCAGGGCGGGGGCTCACCTGCGGTCTCGCTGCCCCCCCAGGCATGTCGGAGCGGGAGCGGCAGGTGATGAAGAAGCTGAAGGAGGTGGTGGACAAGCAGCGGGACGAGATCCGCGCCAAGGACCGGGAGCTGGGCCTGAAGAGCGAGGACGTTG